TGCCATGGGCACAGGCTGGTTCTGCCACCAGGACTTGCTCTCCACATCCCCAGCATGTTGCATGCTCAGGGTCAGGTTTTCAGAGGAGCTCAGCTCTCATTTTGGCACCACAATACTGCTGAAGGTGAGCTCAAAGCCTCTGGAAAACAGCCCCTGGGAGTGATTTTTGGAGACTCCATCCATGCTGCCACCAGAAGTGCTGTGTGATGCCTACAGCCACTCCCATCCTCTGTCACCAGGTGCCTGCCGCCTCCCCAAGGTAGGTGTGTGCACGCAGGGTGGTGGTGCTGGCAGGGCTGGGCACTGCACAGAGCCACAGCTCCCCTTGGAACTGTGGTCCACAGCAAGGCTGTGCCCAGGTTGGCCTGGTGTGGTATTATGGTGGCCAATGGCTCCAGACACCCAAAATATCCACTCTGGCCTCATGGCCACCATGGCTCCAGGGCTGCTGAGACCCAGGTGATGCTGAGTTCTGGCTACTGTGGCAGTACCAGGTTCTGGGGACAGGGACAAGGGACAGAGACAGCAGGAGGAGCATCCTGCAGGGCTGCAGGATGGGCATTCCCCAGGCTGAGCTGCCCCATATCCAACCCTCCCCAATAAAGAGCTCCTGGAGCCTTTTCTGACCAAACTGTTGTGTAGCTCATGGATGCTGCTGTGGCTGTGCGAGCATGCACCGACCGTGCTCTTGGACCCTGGGTACTTGCAGGAGGCTCCTGCCGGGGAATGTGACACAAACAGGCAGTTAATGTGTAACAGCTGTACCGAGCATGTTCATCGGTGCTGGCCTTGGCTGCTGCCCGGTGTGCTCAGCCCCCCTGGTGTGGGGACCCTTGCTCCCACACCCCGGCTGCGTGCACAGCCCGGCAGGATCCTGAAGCCTTCAGAGCCCACTCCCGATGTGCCAAGCTGGCTTGGGGACACTGAAGGTCTTGGCAAGGGCAGTTCAGCTCCAGCCTCACTGCCCTGCCCTGGCATGTGGCTGCGGATGCCAAGGACCGGCCAACATGTTCCTGGGGATAGGCTGGGTGTCCATCCCCTCTGTCCCCTTGCCCTGGTGGCTGAGTCTGGTCACGGCTGCATGGTGAGGGGCTTGAGATGCCCTCATGACAGCACCACATTCCCTCAGGAGCCAGCTCAGGTCACTGCAGCACAGGGAAAGGATGTTGAGCAGGAGCAGACAGCCTGGGAACACAACTCAGGGCAAGCTGCAGTGGTCCCTGGGGTGACATCAGGAGCCATGCCCCAGGGGCACCTCCTGGGCCTCAGGGGATGCAGGAAGGTTGTTCCCTGGAAGGGGAAGGTCCCAGCTGGGCAGGTACCTGCCTGCTGCTGCATGTCCTGGTGTTTCTGAGGGCTCCTGGACTCTGCCCACATGCTGACGCAGGTGAGTGCAGACAGGCTCCTGTGCTGGCAGTGACCGGCTCCTATCCCAGCCCCAGACCTTGCAGCAGCCTGGGAACTTTCTGGACGAACCATAGGCACCGTGTGTGGCACATCACGTTACAGTACCCGTGCGCCCTGCACCTCCCGGTGCATCTGCTCTCTCAGGAATCATGGGGACGCTGTGTCCCAGCACCAGCTGCTGACCTGGCAGACACACCTGGGCTGCTGGCTCATCCCAGGCTCATTGTACACAGTGCAGAGATAAAGCACACCCAGCCTGGCCTCGTTCCTTCCCTGGGAAAGCCACCCCAGCCAGTCGGCAGAGCATGTCCCTGGCCAGCAGTGCTGCCAGTGCAGCGGTGCTGGGGATGACCCAGAGCCTGGCATGGTGCTCCCAGAGCTGGTGGCCACACTGACCAGGATGCCAAAGCCCACGGTGCCCAGGAGGTGCCCAGCACCAGCCGCCCCAGCTCCACACAGTGGCCACAGGACATGGAGCTGGAGCTGGGAACCTGCACGGGAGGACTCCAGCAGCTCTGTCACAGACCTGCCCCAGGGCACACACAGCCTGGCACACACAGGCGATGCTGCCCTGGGCTGCTCTGCTGGCAGCGCGGCTCCACCAGCAGCACAGCTCCACCAGCACTGCTTCCTTCTCACTCCCATGCCATGCTGTGAGGCAGGAGGTGGCTGCTCCTGTCCCTTTTCCCTGCTCCCATTTTGTTTGTCTGCTCCCATCCCATTTCCCAGCCTCTCCCTGCTGTGGCCCCAGTTTTACTGCAGTGACATTTTCCAAGGGTACTGGAGTGCACTCGTCCCCATCCCCCAACACCTTTTGCCCCCATTTCTGCTGCGAAATCTCTTGGGAAGGGTTTGCTGCAGACTGTTTCAAAATATTTTTTATGCTGAAGCCAAGTCTGTTGTTTTTTTGCATGCTGGCCAAAGCCACTCTTGGTTGAGGACCTTAGAATGAGCTGTTGGGGTATTTGTTTTGCAAGAGTAATTCAATTTCCGTGCAAACTTCTCCTTTTTGGGTTTTTTTTGTAGGTTGGGAGCTCAGTTTGGGGCTGAGATGCCTGGGTCTGTTTCCTGAGGCTGAGCTGGGGGGAACGGAGAGGAGCAGCCCTAGGTGGGGATGCTTCTGCAGCTGCGGCTGATCCTGTAGTGCTTGTGCTGGTCCACTGTGCAAATGCACTTCATGTGCATTTCTATTCCCTGATGGCAGCTGCGAAACTGCGGCTTAGTCTGACCGGGAGAGGCCTGCCTGGCGCCCTGCTGAGGGCAGCTGAGGACACACAGCTGGTCCGTGGGTGCAGATCTGCTCCAGCAGCCCCGCATTGTGCTGCTGAACATGAGGCAGATCTGTAACCACTGGCTA